CGTGGAGCTAGCTCTAGGCAGCCAGTGGTATGCACCGTGAGGTGGGTGGTTGTCGGGGTTGGGCGTGGGTGGTACCTATCACCCATTTAAAAAAAACGAGTAAAATTACATTTTTTTATATCAAATTTTTTAATGCTGTGTATTCTCTCATTGTTTTGTTTGGATTTTAAACTTTATTGTTTGTTTTTTTTCGTTTTCTTTTTCTTTTTTGCACCGTTTGAATTGGCGTATTAAGATGAGAATGAGATGAAGAGAGAGAGTGGTTGAAAAGGATCAGGAGTGGAGCTGCTTTCATCCCTTGCATGACGCTAATGACGCATCAACGGGAAACGACATTAAAATAATGGACGGGCGAATGAGCTGGTCGCTTTTTGTGTGCGATTTCGGTATGGCAGGGAGCCTAATGTTCGTACGGTTGTGTGTCTGTGTGTGTGCCTGGGTGGGTGTACGTGTGCGGTGTGTCCTGTGCAAGAAAAGGTCGGAGCAGCGTGATATCGGTTGTGTTCGCCTCTCAGTGCCAGATGAACAGTGCTGATAACTACTGGTGTCTCCTCCCGTATATTGTAATACGCCCGTTTATGTTTTATAAATGCGTTTTGTTTTCCTCACGCAAGTTTTTACTTAATTTTAATAAATTAAATTGTATGCACTCAATATGAAGAAACTAGTTTCGTCCACAGAAACACGCAGTTTTAGGCACATTTTGATAAGATGGATTGTCCCAATTTCCAATTTATGTATTTTCGTACATCACTCCACCGCGACCATCACGTACAACTCGTGGACAATGTTTAGTTTGGTATACAGGAAAAATCACAATTTGTCATTGATATGCGATACAGATTTCCATCTGCTTAAGGCGTGCTTATAAATTCGTCCAATAACAGGCATATTATTTTGCCTTTAAAATATCTCCTAAAATGTACAGTTCTTGTGCGACCACCAGTATGGTGCCGCGGCGCTAGTAAGTTGACGTGGGGCGCTGCAGTGGTGTGTTGTTCGGGCGGAGGGGTGAGCAGTCGGGTCAAGTCGTAAGTGCGAGCGCCATGCAGAAGCGCACATTACACGGCCTTACTCCGCCTAATGGACCGCCACACACTGACACGCGCGCGCGCGCGCACACACACACACACACACACACACACACACAACGGTACATTTCGAATCCATCCCTCCTCTCTCCTACACTCTTAACGCCACAATTTGCATGGTATACGTACTAAAGTTTTTGCTTTACAAATTATTTCGTAAACTTATTACTAAAGTTTTTTCTAGTATATTTTTTGTTTAAACTACTGAAGAAACGTTCAGTTAACCTAGAAAAAAACATCACTACAAGAACCGCACAAAACTTAAGGAGGTACTAGGCACTTTTTCTAGCAAAAGTTTGTGAAAGAGTCTTCTCTCTCGCTCTCGTCGCTCTCGCTATTCCCCCCCCCCTCTCTCTCTCTCTCTCTGTCTCTCTCACTCCCTCTGTCACAACCAACCCTCTCGGCCAGCAGTGTCTGTCCCCTCCGCGCGGTCTGCACACCACCTCCTGCTCAAAGGCATTCGGCCGATGCAGTCTGCCTTTTCTGTCGTGTGCGGTCGCTGTGTGCGCCCGCGCCCGCGCCCGCGCCCGCGCCCGCGCCCGCGCCCGCCCCCCGCTCCCCGGTGCTTCCGAATGAGGCATGCTGATGAGCGTCGGCTGCCGGACGGGCGGGGCGGGGCGGGTGGCGGCGTGCGCGGTTATACACGGCTAATCGCGACCCTGCATTATTCACCTCCACCCCCTCTGTGCCCGTACGCTTTCAGCGAGCCGATGCGCGACGCGGCCTCGTTTTGGTTTAAAGCGCTCGTTTTCAAAATATAAAATCACGCAACAGCAGCGTTCACTCCGTTCACTCTCACTTTGAGCTTGGGTGAGGTTTTGATAGGGTGTTTTTATCGTAGCAACAGGAATTTATCTCACTAAAAACTGCGTAATGGCGAATGTCGACCTCTATATGATGACGCTGCGCGTTTTGGTGGCAAATCGTTCAAGCGAACTCTCAAAATATATTTTCAGCGGCACCACCGCATTTCCCGTACAATTTCCAAACAAACGAGCCTGCATATGATAGGGCTCTGACCAATTGTGCTCTAAGGATATGCACGTTAAGGTCTTTTTTCAGTGTTGTTAATGGCAAAGCAAAGTGCTTTGTAATTGCTCAGTATTGTTTTGCAACAGTTAATCAGTGCGGTTGTGGCACCTCTAGACCTACGGTAATTAAGTGAAGTGAAGTAACGCCGGTACCTCTCTGTGTCCACAGCGGGATGCGGCCCCGGCGGCCCGCGGCTGCTAGGAGGGCCCCCCTCGGGCCACGCCGCGCCGGTCACGTGATGTGTGACTCGTAGTCCAAAGCCATGGACGGGCTGCTCGCTTGCGCCTGCCTCGTGCTGCTGTTCCTGTGTTCGGGTAAGTACAAAGAGAAAAGACAACAACTGTCAAATACGTTTAAATTGAACTTGTTTAATAAAAATAATAGTGAACTCAAGGGATCTGGGTAAACATGACCATTTTATTTGAACTTTGGGCAAATCCCTAAATTA